TGATTTTGCCTCTGTAGACTTCAGTTTGCTTTGCCTGAAAGACGGGAATTTTCCTTCGAGTTGCTGAAGATTGTGTATAATAACTTAGTGTATGCTTACCAGGTGCCCAGTATGTGCTGAGTGTTTTATACGTGTTATCTCATTGAATTCTCACAGCCACCCCGGAGGTGGGGGTGTATTATCTCAGTTTCACAGATGAGCACACTGAAGCCTGATTGGTGGAGTGACTTGCCCGGTTAAAGCTAGAAACGCTGGGGCCAGAATTCAATCGCAGGCCGACTCACTGCGGAGCCGGTTCACTTGCCAGGGGGCTGCACAACTTATGCAAAATGTTAGGTAACAAGCCTGGTAGCGATTGTGAATGTCAACCTTTCCTTACTTGACCTCGAGAAAATTGACTAGTGCAAGAAAGTGTATAAAGAAGCAGGACAAGAGAGGTTTCCTTTCTTTTTTATTTAATTACGTCCCCCCTCCCCCCAAACATGTTATGTTTGTGACCAGAAAACAAGGTATTGAAAAAATTCAATCGCAATCTTAAAAGGAGGAGAATCTTTGAGATCTTCCCTGAAACTCTGGTTCCCTATTGACAGAAAAAAATAGGGTCATCTGAACCAGTCCCCAAGATTGGAGGCTCCAGGGCGCACCACCTGGACCGAACCCCAAGCCGCGACCCGGTGCTGGCGGATCCGTGGAGATGCTCGGTGTAAGCGCAGGCGAGGGGTGGGCGGGGGGACTGTCACCCGCGGGAGGTCACATCGGAAAGTGATTCAGCCACGAGGCTGATGGGTCTGTGGTCGGGGATTGCGTGGGACTCTGGATCCTGGCGTCCCCTGGGCTGCCGAGGGGTCTGTGTTCGGCTGGGCATTGTGAGGTCGCGGCCGCGTTTCCTTGGCAACCGGAACCTGCAGTTGGGCCGCGGCGCATCCATCCCCCGGGAGGTGGCAGAAAGGGACCCGCGGCCTGAAAGGGAGCCACGTGGTGTCCGGGAGGCCTTCGCGGAGTCGCCGGACCGTCAGTTCCCGTCAGTT